CCACAGTGGAGACAAGCTAAACTGTGTCCTCCTCTTCTTTGCTTCCAGATGGTTTTAGAGGTATCAAAGTGTTTCCAAGGAGGACCAACCAACACCATATGACCTGCTAGCGCTCTGCAGACCACAGTTTGGGAACAACTTTTAGACAGTATTCATGTTGCCTACTAAACATTAATTTGCTCTTACGACACTCAGGCAGAAAAATTCATAAAAATACATTACATTTAATTAAGATCCTCAATTACAAGCGCCTCCCACATTTGAAAATGCTGGTGTAGACCTTCATGGTATGGTACTTCCTCACCTTTCTTCCATGCTTGTAATAGTTAATAATGCTGACGGTTAAAGTATTATAACTGGCATCTTAATTAGCACTCATTTAAATGGTGTGGTTTGCAGCTCAAGCTATTATTTCAGGCTCTCTGCAAACTCAGGCAGATATCATTGAACTGGTTACACTAAGGTCACATTCTGAAGGTTTACTATGCAATTATAATGGCTAAAGATTAATTAAAAATAAGCAGATATTCTGAATAACAAATGAGGTCTGTTTGTGCAGGGTCATATGCCACAATCTCTGGGAAAAGCTGTGCTATGGAGTTATAAATTGTAAATAATAATGAAAAGTACAGTAGAGACGCAACTATGATCTCAACAAGGTAAAATATTTTTTCTTTCAGATGCTCAGAGGAATTAGTAAAGTAGATGTTCTATGGATAGTATCCAAAGTAACTTCTCACAAAATTGCACTTCCATTCAGTGAAACGGTATTTGAATAACTTTGTACAATGCAGCCAGCACACTAGTCATGACTATTAGCCAGCACAGCAGGATTTCACTGTAGGGGAGTTTGCAACATTGTTGCTTCCAAACAATATCATTAGATATCTCTTTAGCAGAATGGATTTGTGTAAACACTTCCAGTTCTGACCATTAGGGTAAACTTTTAAATGTATATGTTTTTGTTTAGCAGAGTACTGCACTATTTAATGCTGCAAAGTTGTAGTGACAGGGCTGACTGAGCATACAGGCACTACTATAATACAAATAAAATTCTAAGAGTCCCAATAAAGGGTCCACTGAGCTAGGCATCATACAGACAAGTAATTAAGGCATTCCCTGCTCTATAGCGCTTAGATTCAAATGTGTTTCTCAAATGCATGTTTTTTTGTTTTTCCTAGAGTTAATTAAGTATTTTAGGAAAAATGGTCAGAACGGCCATCAGCAAGATTTGGTGGCCACACTCTGAGGCCACCAAAACATTTCTCGTGAGACCCCCTAGCAAAAGGGCAGGTATAACACGTAAACAAAAGGAGTAAGAATATTAGAAAATCAAGTTTTATGCTATTTCTATGCAGATATGTAGCATAATTCACTACACCCGCAAAAACTGCTCACCACTGCAGGACACTATGGTCTATCCAGGTTCCATCCTGATATAAAGCTGTATTGTGCAGAAACATGGCACACAAGTACAGTATATCAGCATACAGAGTTTTTCAAAATCATACAAAAATGGTCTTTTTAACAAGATGATGGGAGGAGTGCGAATATTGTTTTTAAAGTTTTGCCTACTCTTTCCTATAGACTAGCTCGGCAAATAAGTCAAAGTTTAATCTTGCATTAGTCGGTCCCCTAAAGTGTCAAAAGGCATTTGGATATTTGTACTAGATTATTTGCAAGAAATACATTAAAACAGCTTAGGGTTTTGTCTACACACCAAGTTTCTGTGGGCAAGCCAGGGCATGAATCTACAGCGCGCCAGCATGGCCATACAGTAACGCGCCATGTGGACACTGCTATGGCACAGTAAGCACTGCACTCCAGGGCTTTCAACGCACCACAGTAGTGTCCACATGGCATGTTACTGTGCAGTGAGCTACTGCAACGTTGATTCATATCCTGGCTTGCTGCACAGTAACTCACCTTGTAGACAAGCCCTTCCAAGTTTTACTTAAAAAATAAACTACTGAGAATTCTCAGCTTCTTTTATAAAACTTTGTTTTAAAGACAAATGTCACATTATAATTAATGGGAGAGCGTTTATATTTAGTTCAATGACAATTTGTATTGTTGGGAAACATTGTCAGAAAATTTCACACAGAAGAGAAATCTTTTTAAAGCTCTAAATGTCAATTATCCAGTGTTTTCAGGCAATACACCTATCACCAAACCAAGGATGCAATCCTGCAAACTTTTATTCATACGATTAGGCAGTCACTAAACCAATAATGCCAGCTGCATTGCTGGAAATTTGCATTTTTTACTAAAAAGTCTGAAAACCTCAGGTGTTATAGCTCCAGAACTCTGAGAATGCAATTGTTCATTTTCCTAAGTTCATTAAGATTTGACCCCATATAGAATGAATGCTAAAAATGTTCATGAGTACAAAAACACATAACTCACCATTGTGTTTAGATAATGCAGAGAAATATATTAAGATCTGATCTCAGACTCCCGGCATCTCTTAGGCACAAATGCCTAGATTTTTACAGATGTTTAGGCATTGCTGCACTCAGCATCGCAATTGATTTAGGAGTCTATGACATTCCAGGGTGCAATCCTGACCAGTGAAGTCTTGCATCACCCCTACCCTGCAACTTTGGGTCCCCCACAATGCTTTGCTGCTGTAGGTCCCACCTGGGCTGCTCACAAACATCCAAACAGCAAGCATGTCACACCTTGAGTGTGTGTATATAGCTACAGCCCTGGTCCAGCAACTCTGACCCCAGCAGCCTGTCAGCAAACACCAGCCACGCTTTGGCTTTCAGTAGCGTTTGGTTACTACTTGCAGGGTGACGCCAAACACACTCCCAGTCCTGAACTTCTCCCCAAAACATGTGTTCTACACTGTCCAGCCCTCTCCTGGACAGTCCAAATATATTAAGTCAGTTGTCCCTCTGAGGTGATCAATATCTTAAATTGAGTTACCCAAACAATTTACAACACTGGATTAGTTTTAATTAAAGAATAAAACAAGTTTATTCAACTACAAGGACACAGGTTTTAAGTGAGTACAAGGCATTAAAGTCAGAAATGGTTACAAGAGAAATAAACATAAAATGCTTTATAAAACTTAAACTAAACTTGGTTCAAGGTGACATTCTTACCCCACAGGTTCCCAGCAACACTGCTGACCAAATTTCAGGTCAGGATCTGCTCCCGAATTCCATAGGCTGATTCTTTTGTTGTCTTAGGTGAAGGAGAGAGAAATGGAGAGGGAGAGAGAACTTGCCCCTCACTTTTACAGTTCAGTCACCCTTTAAAATTTATTTTCCTGAGGGTTATCCCTAGATAAAGTTCCTTCCAGCTGTGAGGGAGACATGGGGTCTCATCATGAAAGAGGTTTCATGCTATTGTTTACTAAAATGCAGATTTATCTTGTCTCCCTCTTACTGTTTCAAGTACCCTGTTTACTACTTATATGTAAACTGAGGTACACACACATTCCTTTGTTTAAGACCTGCTTGACCAGTCCTGACTAATCAGGGCTACATGGGTTTGAACATGTGCTTCCAACACTATTAATGTGGAATTCATAACTTTACATCTAATGTTACTACACACATTTCATCATGATTCACCAGTGAGTTATTACTTTTCAAATGATGCCTCACAAGACATATTTTTCACAAAGATGATTACGACATAAGGTCTGAATACAGGGGTGCATTCCCTCACAGAGTCTAAATCTCGTTTTTGACTGTCAGTGGAATTTAGACTCCTAAATAACTAAATCCCTTTTTGAAAAGGAGACTTAAGCTTTAAAATAGCTTAAAAACCTGGGCCTAGAGCATTAGTTAAAAATGCCAAGCCTTAAAACAAAATATATTGATCCTACTATTCAAAAGTTGTTACTTTAGTGTAACTGCCAAAGTGATCAATGACACAGTAATGTAAAGCCCAATGTATCAATGAATACTCATATAGCATCAGAGTCATCTATTGACTTTTGATAAAATCCAGAGCTATTGCATTAGTTTTCAGTTTGTGGATATGCACACAGGTATTGTTGGAATATACAGCAAAAGACTGACCTAAAGACAACGTTTTTGAAATAAAAAAGGCTTCATTTCCATTTAGTTCAGGATGAGACTATATGTGCAGGGTTTCACCATGAGTAAAATTTGTATGGTAGAATTTTAAAGTCTTGAAAAATTAGCCTCTCCTATTATTACAAAAGTCACTCTACATAGAAATATAGCAAGTTCTCCTGTTCAATGTTTCTTTATTCTTAAGATTTATAACATTTTAAAGAGGCCAACCTAGGCTCTAAGAACTTTTGCCATAAATTAAGAAGTCACAAATTAAACCAGCAGATGCTCCTTGTCCCCAAACCAGAAGGAATCTGACAAAAGGAAGAATCAAAATCCATTAAATCAATACCCATCCCACTCCTTACCACGCCTCTTCTTCACCAAAAGCCTGGGTAAATAGATGGGCCTTGCAGAATGCTCTGAAGCTCACTAGGTTTGGTCTGTTTCTGACCAAGGGAAGCACGGTCTTAACAAGGCTATATTTAACACAAGTATGCAAAGATGCTACTGCAATGATGATGCTACAATGATTTTTCCTCCGTTTCCTCTAACCAATTTGATTCCACTAATTACATAGCTGCCACTCCTACCCCGGAAAACAGTTGAAAAAAGTGGCTGTGGACCATTTCCAAGACCAACAATTCCTCCCTAGATCTTTCCCAAGTCAGGCTTCAGAGCAGGATACAGAATAGAGATTGGCTTCAGAGTGGTAGCCATGTTAGTCTGTATCAGCAAAAACAAGGAGGACTCCTTGTTGTTTTTGCAGAATAGAGACTGTTCAGCACAGCCAGGGATATCTGATCCAAATTATAAAGAGAGATATTTTGTATTTCTTGATGCACACAAGACAGCCAATGTAAAATGCAAAATAATGTTGTGGGAGATTTCCTAATCAGTTAATGTATCCTTACATACAGAGAACAATGGCTTAGACAATAAAGGCAAATTTATCCTAGGACTTACCTGTGCATACTCTCTCTCAATTGCAGCTTTCTTCTGACTGAATGTCCTACAAAAAACAGGGGGGGAAGTCCATTAACACACACAACCATATACTATAAATGCAATAATTAAAAAGGAGTTTTATATAACTTCAGTTCAAATGCACCATCAGGCAGCCTTTACAGCCAACAGAAGAGCAAAAGAAGAGCTGAACTGTTTGACAATTGTGTATTAACTGCCTAACAACCACTTGCATGTGGCCACCATAGATTAAGAGCTCCTTCCCTCAAGCTCCATTTACTTCATTAAAGTCTCTTCAGCTTTACATTGGTTTATCAGAGAACAAAATTTGGCCTTCAGGCATCTAAACTTTTTTTTTGGGAAGTCATCTCTCCCTGACTGCATCTGAACATACCAGGCTAATTGTTCCAGATGCAGGACTCATCTCACTTTCATGCACCATCTTCACTCAGGAATGCCCTGATTTAGCAATCGGTGTAGCTACATCAGCGTGGACCCAGTTAGCTCAATTGGTTTAAACCCCTATATCACTTTCTATACTAAGTTTCAGAGTAAAAGCCGTGTTAGTCTGTATTCACAAAAAGAAAAGGAGGACTTGTGGCACCTTAGAGACTAACCAATTTATTTGAGCATAAGCTTTCGTGAGCTACAGCTCACTTCCGATGAAGTGAGCTGTAGCTCACGAAAGCTTATGCTCAAATAAATTGGTTAGTCTCTAAGGTGCCACAAGTCCTCCTTTTCTTTCTATACTAAGGGGTCAGTAGTGGTACAGCTACACCAATTGCTTGCCACAGACTATTGAACTAAGGCCAGCACTAAGTGTAAGTGAATGCCAAGTATTATTGATTTTAGAGATGGGCAAAACAACAGAAGGACAAGAGAAGAATCAGTATATTTCATTTCCCATGGTTTACACCAAGGCTTTGTGGGCCAAATTCTGCTCTTTGGGCATCAGTATAAATCTGGAGTAATTACAAATGCTTCAAATGAGTCATGCCAAGTTTATAACAATATATCAGCAGAATTTGGCACTGTGACTTTACTCAATCATGTTCTGGCAAAAATGGGATTCGCAAAGCTTTCAATATACTTTTGCATTATAAGGTCCAAGTCTGAAGCAATCTTGCTGTAGAATAAAAACAGATTATGCTACCCCCTTTCCCTCTAAATACAGTAGGTCTCTGTACTTTGTAGCACTAGGAGAACCAAACTACAGCAGCACAAAGAAAAGGAAGAATGGTTGAACCACAGCTAACCCTCCTCAGATTTAGAACTGTCTAGGCGTACCAAGACTCCTAGTAGTGCTCTGATAGTTTAAGTCATTTTCTTTTTACGCTCAAGCAACCAAGCAATAGGATTTTCCTTGGTCTGCATTTCCACATTTTTCTACTAAGATTAATAATGCACTATGCACAAAACATATGACTTTAATTCTATTTAAACAGATTGAACAATTAATTATGGGGACAAGCTAGAAGTTAATGTAAATACAGCAGACGCCCGTTTGCTGCAACACCTTATAAGAGCAACAGCCTCTTACGAACAACATTTCCCCTGGGAACACTTTCCCTACTGTAAGTTATCGACACTCCCAATAACAGCAAAGCCGCTTAGGAGCAACACAGCAGAAGAGCACAGATATGTTTCTACTAATAATCATCTACTGTATCCTGTAATAACATCCTATAAAGTTGAAATTAGAATGTCAAAACAGAATAAGCACCAATGGTGCCTTCTATTCCTGCCAGCAGAACACACTGTTAGAGGTTCCATATTTCAAATAAGATGTAAAACAGAGGTCCTGGCCAATTGTAGTCATTAAAGAACCCATGTAACTCTTTTCAAGAGTAAGGTTTATATTAGCTCTGCGGGCTTGGCCACATTCCAACTCTGGTTATCACATCCGGTCTACCTAAATTTCCCTGGCAGTTTCAGCTGCGTATAAGTGACTCCATTTTAGAACTAAGTGAAATCATCCCTGCATATTGTTGTTTAGGATCCTTCTGGAAGAAAGATGCTACATAGTACATTAAGGTATTGTTATAGGTAACATTGGACCAACATACTTTAGTAGTTTTCTTATCAAAGCCCAAGCTTCCATCTATGATAACAAGCATATCGAAAAATTAGGGCTGTCGATTAATCACAGTTAACTCATGCAATTAACTCAAAAAAATTAATTGTGATTAAAAGAATTAATTGCACTGTTAAACAATAGAATACCAATTTAAATTTATTAAATATTTGTGGCTGTTTTTCTACATTTTCAAATATATTGATTTCAATTACTACAGAGAATACAAAGTATACAGTGCTCACCTTATATTATTTGTATTACAAATATTTGCACTATAAAAATGATAAAGAAATTGTATTTTTCAATTCACCTCAGACACATACTGTAGCGCAATTTCTATCGTGAAAGTGTAACTTACCAATTTAGATTTTTTTTGTTCCATAACTGCACTCAAAAACAAAACAATGTAAAACTTTAGACCCTACAAGTCTACTCAGTTCTACTTCTTGTTCAGCCAATCGCTAACAGAAACAGGTTTGTTTAGATTTACAGGACATAATGTTCCCCACTTCTTATTTACATCTCCAGAAAGTTAGAACAGGTGTTTCCAAGGTATTTATGTGCCAGATATGCTGAACATTCATATGCCCCTTCATGCTTCGGCCACCATTCCAGAGGACATGCTTCCAGGCTGATGATGTTCGTTAAAAAAATAATGCATTAATTAAATTTGTGACTGAACTTCTTGGGGGAGAATTATACGTCTTCTGTTCTGTTTTACCCACATTCTGCCATATATTTCATGTGATAGCAGCCTCAGATGACCCAGCACATGTTCATTTTAAGAACACTTTCACTGCAGATTTGACAAAAAGCAAAGAAGGTACCAATGTGAGATTTCTAAAAATAGCTACAGCACTCCACCCAAGATTTAAGAATCTGAAGTGCCGTCCAAAATCTCAGAGGAACGAGATGTGGAGCATGCTTTCAGAAGTCTTGAAAGAACAACACTCCAATGCAGAAACACAGAACCTGAACCACCAAAAAAGAAAATGAACCTTCTGCTGATGGCATCTGACTCAGACGATGAAAATGAACGTGTCGGTCCGCTTGGCTTTGGATCATTATCAAGCAGAACCCATCATCAGCATGGATGTATGTTCTCTGGAATGGTGGTTGAAGCATGAAGGGACATATAAATCTTTAGTGAATCTGGTAAATATCTTGTGATGCCAGCTACAACAGTGCCATGCAAATGCCTGTTCTCACTTTCAGGTGACATTGTAAACAAGAAGCGGGCAGCATTATCTCCTGCAAATTGTAACCTAACTTGTTTGTCTGAGTGATTGTCTGAACCAGAAGTAGGACTGAGTGGACTTGTAGGTGCTAAAGTTTTACATTGTTTTATTTTTGAATGCACGGGTTTTTCTGTACATAATTCTACATTTGTAAGTTCAACTTTCATGATAAAGAAATTGCACTACAGTACTTGTATTAGGTGAACTAAAAAATACTATTTATTTTGTTTTTTACTGTGCAAATATTTGCAATCAAAAATAAATATAAAGTGAGCAACCGTACACTTTGTATTCTGTGTTGTAACTGAAATCAATACGTTTGAAAATGTGGAAAACATCCAAAAATATTCATATAAATGGTATTCTATTACTGTTTAACAGCGCAATTAATCGCAATTAATATTTTAATCGATTGATGGCCCTATTAAAAATGCAATATTCTTCCAAAATGACTTATGTTTCTTCAACAAGTGCGACTGACTTCAATAACGCTGTTACAGGAACTGCTGAAATCTATAAACATTTAAGAGGTAGTGGGAAACAAGTTACTGTTTTTAAGCCTTCAAAAATAAAGAGTGTAAGCTTCAAAATCAAGAGCAAAAATATGCCATTACTAGTTTCTACTCAGGCAGCCTCATTTGAAAATTTACAGTCTGATCTAGATGTAAAAAAGAGTATATGCACTATCGTTCATTCTAAACTGAAACCAACTGTTGTGGAATTTAGTACAAAAGTAATTTAGTATTTTTGGACTGAATGAGTTGTACACTGATAGAAACACTGAAGTTTGTTTTCAAATGAAATGGTTGTAATCTCTAGTTTGTTGGAGAAAAAGGGTTGTACAGTAGCAAGAAACATTTAAAAGCAATTTTAGATTTTATTCAAGCCCCACCATTCTATTATTCTAAAATATTTAATTCACTTTAGTATAAACAGATTTTAGACCATCAGAGTTAAATTTACAGAGTGATTCAATTTTTGAGTTTCAGTAGAGTTAGTGGGAAAAGAGTAAGTATCTGAGATTGTTCTTTAAAGATGGCGTTCTCAAATTTTTCGAGAGCAAAGAACTTCTGCTAGGAAACAAAGCAGACTGACTGACAAAGTATTTGATGTCTTCCTACCTTGACAAACCTGACAATTTCCATGTATACACTTGTATAAGGTCAAGGGTTATGTCAACATTGTGAGAAAAATCTTGAAAGAAAACAAGCTAGTTCCCTGAAAAAAGATAAATGTATTGTGTAGTTTTTAAAAAATGGGCATGCATTTACAATTACTATTTTTATGTGTAGGGCTATACAGAGGTTTTTGTGGGGCCGGGGGTAAAATCTGAAATTGAAGTACTTCACTCCCTCTCCTTCCTACAACCTTCCAAAAAAATTAACCCTGAGAGGAGGCTGGGGAGGGCATGTGCTGGAGCACAAGCCTGCACTGCACTCGCCCCACGTGGCAGAGCCACCTGGTTTTGGATCAGCAGCCCCTCAACTGTGACAGCAGGGCTGCTGGGCCAAATTTCAATGCAACCCAGCAAGTGGGGGTCCTCTCAAATGGAGGCCCAGAGCAAACTGTCCCTTTCCCCCTGCCCTGTTTATGCATTTATCAAGTAATTGTTACAAAGGAAAGAAAGTAGGTTAGAGTTGAGAGCATATTTTAAAATTTTTCTTTCAATTACTTACTTCTAGATAAAAAGAAAAGGAGTACTTGTGGCACCTTAGAGACTAACCAATTTAT